CCGCACGCTCGCGCACGCCTCCCGCGCGCACCCACGCGCACCATTCCCCCACGCGCACGCCCCTCTGTCCATGGCCGGGCACCCACCGCGTGGCCGGAGCCCTGCGCGCAGGCGCCGGGAGGGACGCAGGCACACCATGTCCTTCGCGGGACAGCGTCCCCGCCCATCCCTAGCTGTTGGTGAGGAAGAGCCGTCTGTGTCTGGAGGCAGAGCCGCGCGGCCGGCCCCGACGCCGGCCCCGGCCCCGGTTCCCGAAGGGGCTTCGGCTGGGCACAGCGGTCTCTCCCCAGCTGGCGGTCCCGGCCTGCGGCTCAGGGAAGCTGGGCTCGGCTTTGGGCTGCTCGAGGAGCGGGCTGGGGACCGGCCGCGGCTCAGCCGGCGGCGCCTGGCTCTGCCGGGCGCTGGCCCTCTCCTGGCGCAGGTAGCGCAGCTCGTCGCGGATGTCCGTCAGGACGCCCAGCAGGCGAAACTGGAGCTCGCGGTCGCGGGCCCTCTCCTCGCGCTGGGTGGCCCGCTCCTCCTGCCACATGGCCAGCTCCTGGTGGTCCAGCTGGCCCCCCTGCTCCTCCAGGTCCAGCAGGTGATGGATGTTAGTCCTCCAGCTCTCCCGCCGGTCCTCCCGCAGGCGGGAGCAGCCCAGGCCGCGCTCCTCCTCTGCCGTTGGCTTCTCCCAGGTGGGCCCCATCAGTACCCTGGGCAAAGCGCCCATCTCCGGGCCCGGGCCCCCCGCCTGCTCCTCGGGGTGCGAGGAGTCGAGCCCGCGGCCCAAGGGGGGCAGGTCGGACACCCCCTCGTGGCCCCAGTCCGAGTGAGCGTCCACGGGGTTAAGAGGGTCCTCGGGCAGGGAGGTGACGGAGCCCTGGGAGCTGCACCTGCGGATCAGCATGGCCTGGCGGGACAGTTTCATGTCTTCCTCCGCAGACATGGGGGCCTCGGGCCCCGGCTGCATCCCCACGGCCCCGCCGTGGCCCCTCTCCACCTCCCGGCCTTCCCGTTCCTCCTCCTCTGACATGGAGGCGTAGGAGACGAGGGACTCGTTTCGCAGGGACGGGGAAATGGCTGACATGTCCGGAGTCCGCAGCTCCGGTCCCGACTCAGCTGGAAGAGAAGAGAAGCCCTCCGGTGAGCCCCAGCCGCTGCCCCTGCCCCCTGCCCCTCTCCGGCACACGGACATCCCCCTCACAGACATCCCTGCGGGACACAGCAGACCAACGTGCCCCATCCGTGCAGTCCTCACCCCTACTTGCCTCGCACGCCCCTCGTCCCCCCCTCAGTGAGTTCCCCAGGCCGCTGGGTGACACAGGGATGGCCACGGCCTTCGCCTTCCCTTGGATTTGCCGCCTTCTCCTGCCACCGCACAACCCTCAGCGGTTACAAAACTGTGCTCCGAGTTCCCAGTTACGCATCCGCAACCCTTTGGGACTCGCAGACCGGGAGACAATGGCACAGGCCGGGAAGGCGCAGGGAAGCGTCTCCGATCAGGGTGTCCCCCGCAGTGCCACCCCCAGCGCCGTGCCGAGGGCTGCAGCCAGCCCCGCCAGCAGCAAGACGCCGCACCGGGACTGGGCTCTCGGTGCAAAAAACCACCGCAACTTTTTACCGGCCGCCACGCTCCCAGCGGATCTCCGTCCAGACCCTGTGCCCTCCCTCCGCTGCCTAAAGCCCCGCAGCAGCCTTACCCGAACTGCTCTGTCCTTCCCCTCGGCTGTACTCGCAGATGACGGAGGGGTCGGGGCTCTGCACCGCCAGCCGGGGCACGGCGGAGCCCTCCACGTCCGGCAGGGACGAGGGCTGCCCGTTGGTGTCGATGTAGATGCTGGGGTGGCTGACGCCGGGCTGCAGGTGCATGAAGGACTGCTTGGTCGCGCCGGGGAAAAACAGATCTGCGGGGAGAGAGAGAATCCAGCCTCAGCCGCTGCAACGACAGTGCCGGCGGCTCACGTGCCCCCGCGGAAGGGCGGATGGGGCTCCCCAGAAGAAGGGTCCCACGGGAATCGGCCAGGGAGCGACGCTGTGCGGGGGACACGGTTGCACCGAGGTGCAGATGCTCCTCCTGCAAGGCCGGCCCATGCGATCGCTCGCCCTCACCCCCTCCAGGACCATTCTGAACTCGCCCAGCCCCGAGGGGGTTGGCATCCCCTAAATGTCCCGCAGGACTTCTTCCTCCAGCCTGGAGCTTTTCTGCTTTGCAGCAAGCCGGGCGTCTGGTTCAGAGACAGCCCAAGCACGAACCGAGTCAAATGAGACCCAGGCCACCCACCCATCCCCACGGGAACCTGCCGGGGCCACCCACCCATCCCCACGGGAACCTGCCGGGCTGAGCCGAAATCAAAGAGCAGAGGAAGGAGCAGGGACAACTAACCCTGGTGTCCTCTGGGGACGCAAAGAAGCCGGACACATCCCCTTTGTGGAAATGAAAGGGCAGGGGGGGTATTTGCCTCCTGGCCAGTAACAAAGCCCAGCCGGGGCGCACCCGCGGGCCCAGCCCAGCACTACTGCAGGACGGGTGTCGGGTCTTTCGCCAACATCTTCCCCCCGAGCATCTCTTGGGCGTTTGAGCTAAAGAGGCGTTACCCGAGAGCAGGACCGGCAAGAGGGCTCTGCGCTCTGCGGGAGGCTGAGACACGGGTTTGCTCTGCAGGCGACGGAGGGGTCAGAGGCACTGCGCCATCGAGAAGGCACGGCCCGCCCAGGGGCCCGCAGGCTTCCCCCGGCCACGCGCGGCACCCGGGCGCAAGATGCTGCGGGAGGACGGTGCGACTTCGCACTGAGGCAGCTGCTCCCGCTCCCTCTGACCTCGGCCAACCACGGGGGACACTGACCCTGACAGGAACGGGGGAAATAAAATCCCATCCCATCTTTTACCGGCTGCTTTTAGACGGTATCCAGCAAGGCCAGGCACGGGGTCAAATTAAAGAAAGAAAAAAAAGACAGGAAAGACCCGCTCCCACAAAGCCTGAGATGTTCCCGTTGATCCCAGGTTATTTCCACAGTGGATTTTTAATTCCAGCGCACGCAGTTTCCAGCCCTGCTGGTTTGCTACTCAGGCAGGACAGGACCACGGCCCTGCCGGATGCCGTCATCCCGACACAAACCGCGCACGAGAGCAAAACCCCAAAGTCTCCTTCCACGATCCACGCCGCACCGGCTAGCACGGAACGCGAACGCTCGGCAGACCCCGGAGCTCGGGGGGACCGCGGCCTGGTGACGTTCTCAGGCCAGACATCATCGGAGAGCGCAGGTGGGGACGCAGCACAGGACTCTGCTACTCAAACTCTCCTCTCCCCAGAGAACCACCACGACTGACCTGGGTCCAAGATGATTTCGGGCTCCGAGTCGTGGCTGGCCTGCAAGAAGGGGGGAACCCCCATCTTCTCCAGGGGGGGG